GAAGGACCGGCAGCACCAGATGGACCAGAGGGGCCGGCAGCGCCAGAGGGACCTGTAGGGCCAACAGCGCCAGAGGGACCAGAGGGACCAGCCGCACCAGAGGGACCAGAAGGACCGGCTGCGCCAGAGGGACCAGATGGGCCGGCAGCACCAGATGGACCAGAGGGGCCTGCAGGACCAGTAGAACCAACAGGACCTGATGGACCGGCAGCACCGGAGGGGCCAGAGGGACCAGCCGCACCAGAGGGGCCAGAAGGACCAGCCGCACCAGAGGGGCCAGAAGGACCAGCCGCACCAGAGGGACCAGAAGGACCGGCAGCACCAGAGGGACCAGAAGGACCGGCAGCACCAGATGGACCAGAGGGACCGGCAGCACCAGAGGGACCGCTCGGGCCTGAAGGACCTGGCAGACCAGAAGCACCGCTCGGGCCTGAAGGACCTGTTGGACCGGTAGGACCTATTGGACCGGTAGGACCGGTGGGCCCAGGTGGACCTTGACCGACGATTGACGTGGAATTCGAACAGGCCGTCACTACACTCATTAGCACCGTCAAAAAGAATCGAAAATCTTCCTCTTACCGCCAGCGACGACTAAGTTGACGAAAATACAGCCCGCGGGTTGTGTCCCAAATTGGTATACAACGATTACAGTTCCACTAGAGGAAACACAGAAGGATGCCTGTCCGTTCGAGAAAGCACTATTGATCCAGCCAAGAGTGCCGTCAGAGTACGTCACGAAAGTTCCCGTAATGCTTCCAGGGCTGGATGGCGCCACAAACGGCTCGTAATTGGTGCCGGGATTAGTCGAGTATTCATTGCCATTGGCATCGTAGAGATGGCCGTTTTTGAGGTTGTAGGCCAGGGCTTGGTTACAAGTACTTGTGCTTCCACCGTTGGCACTCACGAATCCAACGACGTTCAGGTCTCTCTTTTTATTTTTTGAACTGCCAGCAAAGGTCAAACGGAATGGCTTCTCCGGATGAATGAACTGATAAGTCGGGCTATGCAGCTTGTCAATATTAAAAATGTATCGAAATTCATTGAGCATAGCTTACCCCTTTGGTATCGGCAATGGCAACGGCAACCTCCTAAGTGTCGTCTCCTTATGTTTCCCTGTTGCCCATGCTGATGTCGTCCACGCCGCCGCCGTACTGACCTCAATTGGTGAAGTAAAAGGATAGCTCGAAAAAGATGAATTTGACAAAGTCCTGCATGTTCCGGTGGATGTAATTATGCTTCCGTCGAAAGTCGGTGGGAAAGGCAGCAGATCAGGTACTGGAACGGGAAGTCTAGCAGCATCGATCAAATGAGTGAATATAAAAAAACAAACGAGGTGCAATGCACGACGAAAATGAGTGGGCGTCATGCTTGGGGGCTGCCGGAAGCCCTTATCAAGCGTAAATCAAACTGTGATCCACAACGAATGGAATACCAAGCTGGCTAGCGGGCTCGAAACAACCGTGAGGGAAAGAGAGAAGGGAAATATAAGATGCAAATAAAGAAGGACACTTTGGCATATCATAAACAACATTTGCTAGCGCGGCAAAACAAACATATAAGCTTCACAAAAGACACAGGGAGTGAGGAAGGGCGCACGCCCCCCTCTCCCCACCAGCCCCTCCAGGCAGGGCGTGCATGAGTTGTAGCATGGCGAAGTAGGAAAGAGAGCAAGGTGAGGGCTTTGTTCAGCAAAGAATGTGCGTTTGACAAGCAAAGAGTGTTTCTTTGACGAGTTAACGAGAAAGCCGCTGCGCACGAGACGACATACGCTTTCAGGAGACGCGGGGGGGGTTTCGAACTCCCTTTTGGAAGGGCAGCTGTTCCCTGGATGAAGGGAGCCGCCGAGCCACCATAACCATGATCTCCAGCATTAACTATGTTTGAACTACTAGATGTCACGTCAATGGAAGATGGCCATGGAGATCCATCTCAGGATGAAGGAGAGTCATGCATTCTTCGATGACTCAGATGGTAAAGTCCTTGCCTATTAGCCAACCTCCAGAAGAGTTTCCATTAGGGGGTCAATTGAAGCTCATCGAAAGGTTCTTGAGCAAAGCTCATCTGTTCATCAGTCTGCAGGTAGTCTGTTGAGGGAGTGTCGCTTGCCTCTTAGAGTCGAAGCGCGTGCTTGCCAACAATTAGGCGAATCAAGGGAGACCCGCGAGGGTATAACTAAGGAATGGAAGAGGGTTTCACTGTCGCCTGTTGTCCGCCACCCGCTCGAGGACTGCCGCGGAGGTGCTTCCGACCGTTAGTCCGAGCAAGCCTAAACCCGCCTTTTCGCATAAGAGCAGGGGCTTTAGTCCTAGCCTCCATCGCGAATGCTTATTTCAATAAAGGAATATCAAAGAAAAGGACCCCCTTCAGAATATCACACACAAAAATAAAAAGGTTGCATTCCTTAATATGAGGGACGTATCTATGAAATCGCACAGCGATCGAATTCGATGATCCGACACTGCTCCAGTATAGTACAAGATTCTATCATGTATCACAAGCTAGTATGCCCGGTGACAGGGAGGCCTCTCGCCCGTAGTTCCCTTTCAATAAGCTTCCACCTGCCCAGATCCCTTTCTTTGTCTATAGGGGTGACCCTGTGTTCAGATAGCTTCACATTTGGCAGGCTAGCCATCTCCTCGTGAGCAAAGAGAGCATCAGCTAATTTTCTTGGCTTTGGGGCTGCTGCGAGATTATTGAGGAGTGCGCCCAGGGTGTTGACGTGCTGAATAGTGGGATCAGGGATTCGAACGCCAGTAAGCTGCATAACGCGCTTAATGATCTTTTCTCAAGTTAGTATCTACAATGTGCGTTTGCGGGGTCAATATTGTGACATACGGTAAATTTGATGGAGCGGTCGTGGAGGGGAATTGAGAACCATTGAGTACCCCAAGCAGCCACTCTCTCTTCGAGAATACTAGTTTGTTCACTCGCAGCTGGAATGGTTGAATGCGAAGATTCGGCTTCTTGCTCTGCTTCGACAACTTCTTCAACAGGCTTAGATGGTATTGTCGCTTTGAGAATATCGTCTCGGATATGCTCATTGGGATAAGAAATGGCTACAGTTTGTCCATCTGCTGACGGATCAAGCTGGACACGCCAGTACTCCCCAATAACTCCGTCGTCGCGGATATTACATACGTCAGACACGGGACGGCCGGCGCCTTGGAGGGTAAAAATTTCAACTACGGCTCGATAGAGGGCCGAAGCCAAAGCAGCGCGCGAGTCTAGCCGTTCAGAGGGCATGAAGCTGAATTATCTTGGGTCAGCACAGAGTTTCAACCGCAAAAATCTCGTTGTTTATACCCTTGAAATTTGTGCGCTGGGTCCCAATTCTCCTTCCACCAATGCCCAAATCCACCAACGCTCTCGAGACCATCCCATGTCGTCGCGGGCTCATATCCAGTGGTGTTCTGGTTTGCGCTGGACTCGCGAGGTCTACGCTGCGCAGCAAGCTGCTGATTTTCAGAAAGTCGACTGTAAGGGTCGTCCTGACCTGGCGGTGTCTCTGTTCCCCAGATTTTTCGGCGAAGTCTTTCCGTCAACGGGACCTCACCGGTTTCGCTGCGCCGAGCCGGATGAGACGTCGAGGTAGTGAATGGAGATGCTGTACGGGCAGTTTGATTTCGTGTCCGACAAGAAAAGCACAGCGATTCAGTTGCCGACGGACGCTTGGGTAGATCTGTTAAGGGGTCAATTGACCTTTGCAATCTTGAAAGACGCCGCATCTTGCCGTATCCTTTCGCGTTGCAAATCGAAAATAGGTATTATTCAAGCAGTCGACATATCTACGGAATCCAGAAGCAAATTCTGGGCACGTGACGGCTTTGGAAATTGCTTTTCTTATGTAAGCCATTTTGCGGAACGTTTGGGCGGGAGGGCAGGCGAAGGGGGGAGTCGGGCAGGCAGCGGTTTTGAGCGGCAGTGCCATTTCGCTTGAAAACGGTAAGCGGCATAAACAAAGCACTGAGCCCTTAAACATTTACATCTCTAGAGTTAATTTCAAATTCACCTAACTACTGGCTGTAGGCTTCCGGTGATGACCTAGAAATGTACTCTTTGGAGTTCTGATCAAGTGTGTGTTTTTATTTTCTTATTTTCGATTTTCATTTTTCTTGTTCTTTGTGTAACGCTGTGCTGTCTTTTAGGTTTAGTTCATATCTTGTAGAAAGTCCCATTCCTGTGCAACTCAACTGTGTCGCTGATAATGGCGGATATCATCATTTTTAATTTCAGGGCTGCAACGTGGGCCATCGAAAATGTTCATTCTATATATAAGCCAGCCATTTGATTGGCGATTGGAGCAGGTAAATCTACCCCTGTTATGTGTACATTCGGAATGCTTCTTCACTCTTTTTCTGCATTACACCAGAAGCGGCAGGCGGATTGTTTGTTTGTCAATTCCCTCTTGTGTTCTTAAATCCTGCAGGTGGACTTGACCAGGTAGAGTCGACCCACTCTCCTAACGACTCCCGAATCTCTTTGACAAGAGATTGGACCTTTTCCTGCATCTGAACGCTTTTCTCATAATCGTTCGGGCGTTCCTTGGCGGAAATAGAGTCCTCAATACCATCTAAAATGCTTGCCCATACCTGTAAAGTCTCCTCCAATTCCTCCGTGGAGCTAACTCCAATCACGCTAACTCCTAACTTCCGATCAGGGGCAGCATCTGCTCGACCCTCTTCTAATGGTGCGCCAAAATTCAATTTCCCTTTTGAGCCCACCGCACTGCCCGCAGAAAGCCAACTCTCCAATGCATAGCGGAGCGCCACACTTTCGAGTTTCTCGTTGTGACGATCGGAGACATCAGTGGCCTGTCGCACAGCGGCTCGAAGGTCCTGACTAGCAGGATGAAAGTCTCCTTGGCCGCCGATTGGAACGCCTTGTCTTCGCAATAAGCCCATACCCAGGAGGGATGCGTTCAACACAACATCGACACCAGCTGCCTGAAGCCTCGCGACTCCCTCCGTTGCGAGCCTAGTGTTCTGCACAGTGTAGTTCGCATACGACATGACTGCATCCAAAGGCTCTCCTGTTTCGCGAAGGATCATCTCAGCAATCTCGCAGAGCGTATTGACTGGATATCCCGAGATTCCAATATACTTGACCACACCTGTCTCGTCGCGGATCTGACGAAGCTCCTTTACAGCGGCAAGTACTTCTGGCGGGGTCACGAACTCCACGTCATGGCAATAAACCAAGTCCAAGTATCTGGTCCGCAGTTTTCCAAGACTGTTGCCCACGCTCTCGCGAACCCATTCCGGTGAATAATCGAATTCGGTTTCCTTTATGCGGCCAACCTTCGTCAGGACCATGTAGTCCTTCCTCGGGAAATTCTCTTCTATAAAGGGAGTATCCAAAGCTTGTCCGAGTAATTGTTCTGAAGGACCATAATATGGGGAAGAATCAAATGCGCGCAATCCTGACGCAAATGCGCGATGAACGATTGCTGTTGTTGGAAGTGCCTGGGGATCGGCGTTATATTGATCATTAAACGTCGCGGTTCCGCAAATGAGCGGAGGTAAAGTAGAAGACAAGGGTGGAGAAGTGCGCGGCATCGTGAAGCAGTACTACCAGTGAAGAGAAATCGAAGATTGTACAATTTGCTTCTTGTAGCAGATCCCGCCTGACTGGTCAATAAAATATCAACGGCCAGGCACAGAGGGGCAAGGACTGGTCCTTCAAAACTGAGGGGCTATGACGCTAAACTGGCACCGTGATAGAGCTACAGGTGATATGACGAGATACAGGCGATTGCGCTCAGGTACAGGTACCGGTGTCGGCGAGAGATTGACCAATAGACTTCCAGCCATAAATATCCGCGGTCCTCAATTCCCCCGATCGGGTACTTGGTTCTTCCCTGAACCGAGAAGGGTCTTGTTCTTATTCGGGGTGCGAGATTGTTCAGAATGGCAATGCTTCGCCCGGAAGAGGCCAACTCAGGTTGAACAATGGCAAGGAAAGTACTTGTAGCCTATAATACAGGATCGAGCCTCACATTTTCTAAGAAAGAATAGGCATGTCGCAGTTCAAGTGCCATTGTGATTCACCGTCATGGCCGAAGAAAGAAGATCGCTGATTTGAACTGACCTAATAATACATGGTAATGAGGTTGTGTATGAGTGAGGAAGTAGAGGTGCAAAGCAAAGTTCTGCGAGCGCATGAAGTCGTATATCGACAAATATGCATGATGTTCTGCTAAAAATAAACCTGATCAAAAAGATCCCCAACGCCCAGCCGATGCATACTCTAGGCATCTGAGAAGGTAAACGCAATGCCTCTTGAAATAAGCGGCATAAATTCGGGCGCATATGTTCAAAAGATGGATATCAAGCCAGACTCCGCTTCTTCACTACCTTTCCTTGTAAACCTTGGGATTCCAGCCCTCTTTCAGTTCCTGCTCTCTCTCGGCTACCCTCTCCGCATTCTTCACCTCCAACTCTATTCGTTCCCTAGCTCGGAGGATCTTGCTTTGAAGATAGAAGCTTCCGCCTTTCTTGGGATCATTTTGATCAAAAAGTCGCTTGAATCGACCCATTACATCCTCCATGTTGGCTTTGCCACCCTGAGGAGGTTTGACGTTGAGGATTTTGCATGCTTCGTCAAGTGTGAGGCCAGAAGAGGCGAGATTATTGGCGGCTCCAGGATTGCTCTTCGCGGCCTGGGCAGCGTATTTTTGCGAGGCAGCTGCTTGACGATACGCTTCTGCAACAGCGCGACCCAGAACCCGAGAGCCGGTAAGGACAACCTGGGTGATTATACGGTGCGCCTAAAAACGATCAGTCATCTGTCAAGAGACGATTGAAGGATCCATGGGAGTTTCCAAAGATCAAATGTGTGAAGACCAATTACAATCACAATACTCACCATGACTGATCAGCCCCTATCCCACAGGTCTTAAGAAAAGATGCCGCGAGAATGTAATGAACGGAGATTGTGGCGCGGTGATGATGATTATCTCGCCATAAAATTTCCCAGATGTTGCCCAGAACGGCAACTCGGACATAGCGGCTCTAGGCGAGGTCATGTGACTGGATTGTTCCCTGGAGTGCATCATTCACGCATTGGACCCTTGGTTGTAAGAGCTTGTTCTTGGTAATGGTTCTGTCTATGGTTTTGTTACATTATATTGGGCAGGCCGCAAATGAATCAGTCTTTCTTTTTCTTTTAATGTTCGGACTCTGTATGTCTTGAGAATGTATACTCCCTGGACAGCCTCGGCCAGACCAGCAGTGACGACAGAGAAGTAGCGGAAGCGACATGTGCTTGCAACAACGAAACCCCACCGCGATTCCTTTCACATTTCTCGTTGCTTGTCAGCAAATCGGGATGTGATATACTCAGACTTGTCGTAGTTGTTCAATATTTATGCCTGAGTAGTTCTGGAAGAGCACTTGTTTGCCCAGTTTTTGTTACGATGCAACCCGAGCTGAAGCTGAATGTTTAACTCTGAATGCTGTATTACATTGAATCTGACATGACGTCCGGTTAATGGCAGCACTTGGTGAATCTCCCCAGATATTTGATTTGCTTGCCATGTGCTAATATAGTTCTACTGGAGCAGATACTCCTTGGACTTCTTCCATGTCCACTGCAGCTGCACACCCTTCGGAGAACGGGGCCTCTCCGCAAGGTCCCGGTCTCAATCCACCAACTTTTGCCTCATTTTCTCCAGTTACTCTAGGTCGCCCGTCTTCCTCAGCGAGGCAGCGCTCCACCATTCTTGTTCATCAGAAGTCCCCACTGCTTGTTGCTACACCTCCACAGATCACACGCGCGCTCGCGTATTCTTATCCCTTCCTTCTTCCGCTGAACAGGTTTGCCGGTCTCCTGTCATGGACGACTGGTGACCCATGGGAAAGTTTTCTTCTTCTGGCAGGGTTTTGGGCTGTCGTGCTCTATGGAGATCTGGTGATCCAGTTCTCTGGGCCAATTATAATAGTCCTTTCTCTGATGCTGGGCATGTACTCTCGCAGATACTCGCCTCTGTCGTCGACTGGATTGACTGGCGAAAAAGCAAAGAGGGGCCACAAAAGAGATGATTCTGATGGCAATACAAGACATTATAAGAGCTTGGATGAGATTGTTGAGACACTCAGGGTCTTTACATCACGATGCAATGTCCTTCTCGATCCATTCATCCAGCTCACCGAATTCCTATCCACCCAGAGAACTGCAACCTCGGCCACAACCCGTCCAGCGTTGACAACGTTGTTTCTTCGAATCTTGCTTCTCACCCCCCTTTGGATAGCTCTCACGCTTCCGCCGTTTTACATCATTACTACACGCCGTGTTGTCCTTACGACTGGTACGCTTACGTTGAGTTGGCATTCTCGGCCTGCTAGAGCAGCCCGTGCAATCATCTGGCGCTCGTTGCTCATTCGTCGACTCTGTTCAATAATTACCGGTCTAGACTTTACCGGAGCAACTAGAGGAAATTCGTCCTTGAAGCACAACGGGGTTGCTCATAAAGCACCTCCACGAGTCAAAACTGCAAACGAACTGAGTGCGCTAGCTGTCGCAAAGGGCAGCTCTGATTCTTCTGGTGTGCATTTCACTTTCATTCTATTCGAAAATCAGCGCCGTTGGATTGGTCTTGGTTGGACTTCGTCGCTCTTGACCTACGAACGGGCTCCATGGACTGACGAGTATCTCAATCCAACTCCTCCTAAGGAGCAATTTCAGCTGCCTGAAGTTGAGGGAGGACATGCAAAATGGCGGTGGGCCGAAGGGAGCGAGTGGCAAGTGGAAGGAGCTGGCGATAGAAAGGATGACGACAGCGATGGCTGGATCTATTACGACAATAAGGTAATCCAATCCGAATGTTACTATGAAGTCAAAATTCACTGACAAATTCTTCTAAGTGGCACGATGGACGCCGAGGCCAAGATGGCTGGGGACGATACACGAGACGCCGGAAATGGTACCGCGATGCAGAGCTGGTAGAGACGTCCCCTGGAGACAATAGCAATGAACCTGCTTCGAAGGTTCCGAGTCAAGCTTCCAAAGGAGCCGAATCTGCGTCTGAAGATGGAAAGGGATCAAATGAGATACTGATGGATGCCAATCCTGCTCAGAAAGGGGATGATGGTACGATTGAGTCTCGGTCGCGCAAGAAAGGCTGGTTTCGGCGCAGCAGTAAGGGAAGCACAACCAGCGATGGTAAGGCGGCAAGTGGAGCCAGCGTTGCCCTGAGTGATACCAACGAAGACGACCATCACGATATTCATCAAGAGCCGACTCGTGAAGTCGACTGGGGAGTTGGCGACGATGCGAGAATGGGATTGGGATGAGTTTAATGTGGCCAATACTCTGCAAATAATGCTTCAGGCCATAAGCGGGTTCCGTTATTCACAACATCAGTTGATATCAGGTGCTTTTGAGATGCAAATGAGTTTGAAGGAGTGACTATTGAACAGATAAAACTCGATCTTAACAGGCCTTAACCGCTCCACACCACTGCTCGCGAGCACTTCAACTCCGATTCGAACTTCACTCTTTTCCCAAAATCGCACACAACACCTAGTCGCTGGCCGCCAATAAATGTTTCGAGCGCCTAGATTTTTCTCTTGACTGGAGGATTCCCGGCCATGCGTAATCAATCCATTTACTAGGTCGCCCAGTTACGGTCATGGGGGTTTAATGCTAGAGCTCATTAGCCTTGAGTCCTGGATAGTAGTAGATGACCATTTGGGGATGGCTTTGGGGGCAGGTATGAAAGGAAGTTAGGTAGCATACGCAGCCCGAGCAGCAGCTGCAGTTGGAGCAGCTTGCGCAGTTGCAGCTCTTGCAGTCTATATGCTGTCAGCGAGTCTCAAGCTGACAAGGGAAAGCAAACATGTTACGAACCACAGGGAGACATGTTGTCTTTTTTCAGAAAGATGGGATGGATCTTGAAAGAATATATTTCAGTTGTAGCTGGTGCTTGATCGGATTGGTTGCAGAATGTACGATATGTGTACGAGGCTTGAGAAGTTCAGCTTTATATATTCGTCCCTTTATCAAGTCCTGTCGAGATTCTCGGCGGGGCTACGTTTTCTCGGCAGACTTTCGATCCATCCCGCGTGGATCATCTCTGCTGGAAGTAGTCTGGTGATACTTGGAGGACCCCTTCCTAGGTGGGTTTGAGAAGGTATGAGTGTGACCTGTCAGCCCCGCACCTTGTAGCATATGCTGCTGATTGGATGGAAGAGCATGGCCAGCATGCACCAGCAAGCCACTCCACGAATTGGAGGCTGCAGAATTCATCATGATGGTGGTACGAAGCAGAAGAAAAACAAAGCTCCGGGAGGGGTAGCTGAGGTTCTCCCGGGAAGCAATGCGATTCGATTCTTCAGACCCCAGACGCAGCCTGTTGATGGGCTGATGCTTTAGCCAAAATGAAGGAAACAGGCCGAGCATTCCTTGTTCATTTACGGAGGTTACCGAGTTTCTTAGGTAAAGAGTTGCCTGCTGCATCAAGTCTAAACCTCCCAAAGCGCCCCCACGTTTACTTAAGGTCAGCTGTGAATGGAAGACCCTGCTGTATTACGCACGTTGCATAACACGATACCAGGATGACTGCCCCTTGTTGGCGTGACTGCTTCCGATTTGACTCCTGCACATGTTTCTGGCCAATCTCCTTCGTCTTGCTATCGCACAACTCAACCTGTATTCCAGAAGGAGGAAGCCACAAAGTGATGTGGTATAACAATGTGGTGGCAAGGAGACTCTCCGGTAATGGCGACTTTTTGTATCGCATCACTAACTGCAGATATTCCTGAAACGTTGGCATCGAGTACACAAATAATGCGGCATAATAAATTGTGACCTTGAGAGAAGTGTTGAAAAGAATTTTAAAAGAACAACCTGGCATTCTTCTCTCCCCAAACAAGAAGCTACTAGAACTGAAGCACAAATATCTCTTGATCAAAACCTCACCGATCTCGGACACGTTACATGAGATGACCCCCTCGCTGTTTTCCTGAAGGGGAACCCGTCGCAGCATGCATTCGCAGGGCTACGAAATAGACGCTAAGGAGTCTGATTCTGCAGAGAAAATCGGATCTTAACAGTCGCACCATTATTTAGGCCTAAAGAAAAAGAAAAAAGAAATTGTGAGCCCCTCTCCAATCAAATACGCAAATGGAAATGTCGGCCAAATTCATTGCGGCCAGAAGGGTCTCTCTATACTGACTTTCCACAGGTGCAGGATGAGCCGCACTAAGAAAATAAAAGCAATCAGTCATCAGCAAGTTCAGATTTAGGTTTATCAACCCCGCCATAGATGGGGCCAAACTTCGCTGGTCTTACCTGGCAGCTAGAGCCGCAGGAACAGCCGTGGTCGCTCATGGTGATTGAAGTGGAGAGATGTTGACGTCAAAGAGAAATTCTTTTGGAAAAGTTTCGAAGATGGACTTTTTCTTTGGGTTCTCTTCGGCTTGGTCACAACGATAATTAGAGTCAGCTACTCTGGACTGTGGGTCCAGGACGCCTTTTTATGTTTACAGCCGCGATTTGCGCTTTTGGCCGCCGCCTCCGACTCTACTTAGAATCTCTCCACCTCGGCCAAATTAGCCTTGCCCCGCTGCCCGTGCAGTATCCGAGCGACAACTTGGCAAGCAGGATCGAGGGATGTGTGTTTTGCTTTTGACGAATCGGCCGGCTCCTTCTAACCAGACTACTCCGGTAATGTCTTGAGTTGCCTGTGACACTTGTCAAGTGCTCCGCTCTGCAAGTCCAACTCGACGACTATGCGACAGAAAAATACTTTATCAAACGCTTCCACTAATGATTGTCTAGGATATCCCTTGATCGGAACCTGAAGTCGACGGCATTACCTCCGTCATTACACATTTTATCTTATAACTGGCGTCTTGTCACGACAAATTTAACAGTCGCAAATTTTTCAATGATGGAACCGGTCTACGACTTCCACCATATTTTCTAATTATACTACCTCTCTCTTGCTCGTATGGGTTCTTCTCGTGTCGTTTCTTTGATATTGACCGCGAAAAGTGCCGTTCATCTCATTGAGCATCTCAATCTTCCCCGTTGTCCACGTTGATTCCCTCTTCAAGTGCTAAGCAATGCAGTTGTTGCCACCTTAAACGTCACAGATCAAATCAGCTCACCCCTTTCATCCTCCGCTGAGCAGATTTGCGGCAAATGGCTTAATTGTGCATGAAGCATATGCAAGGTGTCGAGATCTGCGCTGTGGTTGGTGCACCTGTGATTCGTCAGTGTAAGAACAGGCCCATAACATTTTTTGCTTCTCGGCCGAGGCCGAGTATTCTGCCTGGCTTTGACTCGTCCATGGATCGTTAATCCGAGGAAATATACGTTTTTTTTAAGAATATGGACAAGCACGGACGGGATTACGTCGTAAATCAATACTGCCCATAATTTATATATGAATATTTGATACACCGTACTACGATAGGAGCCCGATCCCACGATTGATATGAAGAGAAACAGTCTTCTTGTTCGCACGAGGGCAGTACATTATCCTAGCGAGACTCTCCGGGAACTGGCCAAGGTCTGAGACTTCTACCTGTCAATGCACAAAATGTCTATTATTCGCCGTTCGATAGAAGTGTAGCTTTACCCCAAAGATCCCCTTTTATATGGAAACCGAAACCTAAAATGTTATTGCATTACAAGCAACTGGAATAAAGTGCACAAAACAAGCATTAAGAATAAATGCTTGCCTTTCTACACACGACGACTCAGGGAAGAGAAGAAAGTGTTAGCTTTGAGCTGACTCGCGTAACACTATGCAGTAGTGTACTGTTGACTATAATTTCAAGAAAAAGCACACCTTGCGAGTCATCGTAAACAAATGGCTCGAGGATGAGGTTTCAGAGCCATTTCCTGCTATTGATGATACGGCGATCCCTGATTTTCTCAGTCGCATATATAGACACCGCTTATTTGCTTCCATGGATCGGTGCTTGAAGACTTTCTTCAGAAATACTTTCCTTTCGTTTGTAAACGGCTTGATTAAGACGTTACACGGCGTCGCCTATTTAGAGTTTCTGGAACCGCAGCAACAGTTACGGACATGAACATTTGCAGCCACAAAGGAACCATCACACGTCGTCAAAGGGCGCACTGAAGAATTTGTGTCATGTGATAAGTTGGTATTACTGCACATGTCAATTGGTGAAGATTAAATGAAATAATTATTCCTGCCGTTGAGTCTAGATTTGTCGAGACATAGCCAGGTCTAAGCCATCTGACCTGTCATGGCTGAAGTTAAGGTCAAGGTCTCCTGCCATTGCCAGAAGAATCAATCTGTCATTGCTCTCGATTTATCAGACCTGCCTCTATCAGCTAATATCTGTCACTGCGATACGTCTCGTCATGTTTCCGGTGTTCTAGGTACAATTTCTATAAAAGTCCCTTCCGGCCCGGCTAGTCTGGACAATTTGACTGCTTTCGAGACCTCTGAGTTTATGACTCGATACTCCTGCTCAACATGCGGCGCGCAGGTGTTTGCATATGACACCCGAGAGAGCACGTGGAGAGTGCCCACTGGACTCCTGGACAGAACCGAGGGGATCTTCGAAATACAAGCTCACATGTGGGTAGGAGACACCAGAGACGGAGGAATGAGCGACTGGATACCTTCTATCAGTGGTCGGCCATTATCGAGGTGGCTCGAAGCTCCGGAAATTGAGAAGAGTAAAGAATTATTTGAAAGTCAAACTCTGGGTGGCAAAGTTCCAACAATGAAATTTGAAGACGAGGACAAGATCCACGCGCATTGCCGGTGTGGCGGCGTTCAATTCTACATAACTTTGCCTGATAAAGCTTCCGCCGAAGCGACCTCGCCATGGCCAGATCTGATCGTTCCCTATCATTCAGGCTCTCCTGAAAATCCAGAAAATGAAACTTGGTGGCTCGCGGCCAATAAGACAAAGTACCTAGCCGGCACCTGCGCGTGCGATTCATGCCGGTTGACATCGGGCTACGAAATCACACCATGGGCTTTTATTCCCAAGACAAATCTCGTCCAGTTGAATGGCCAGCCGCTGGAGTTCAGTATGGGGACCTTGAAGCAATATGAGAGCTCCCCTGGGGTTTATCGGGAGTTTTGCAGTAGATGCGGCGCAACAGTATTTTACCATAATGACGAAAGACCGGCACTAGTGGACGTCGCCGTTGGCCTTCTGCATTCAACAAGCGGCGTTCGAGCGGAGAATCTGCTCGAGTGGAGGACTGAGCGAGTAAGTTTCGAAGAAGATGCCATCAATCGGAGTTTGGTAGATGGCTTGAGGGAGGGTTTGGGGTCATGGGGAGTCCAACGACAAGGTCGAACTGGTCCTCGCGCCGAACCATGGAAATCTCGAAAGTTATAAGGCTTGCATAAATGACTGAGATTCTCCGACATGGTCGCCATATCGTATGCAAAGAAGCAGATGTCTTCAATGATCTTCGCTGTCTGGTTATAGGTTGTGGAATTTTAATGGTATTATTTTACATGTGAATGGTTAAATTCATACCCATAATATTTAATTTTGTAATTTCTGTGAATATGTATACGAGCCTTGCCCTTCTGATTTTCAGTCGCCTCTATCCTAGAACGAGTCAACACAAGTGATGAAGATCTACTCACTGTATATTTATATCAAAATTGTTGATATGATTGCTGGCGGATCAGAAATATTCCACAGAGAGACGCATACTCCAATGTTGTGGCTGAAGCTGTCGACTCCCTTGTAAGCCTTGGGTCAAATAATTGATTACGTAACTGTTCCTGTGGCGCACCGCGCTTTTACCGAGGGGGATAAGCCCACAATCCGCTTCCTGTAACTATGACGGCTTCGTCTTTTTCCCGCGTCCGATTATCTCGCAACAATCGTCCCCCCAAAAGCCATTTGCTCCAAGCAAGGCAACAGTTACCTGCAGCATTGATGATGCTTATGAGAGCGTCCTTTGTCAACTGACTATAGGTTTCTGTGATTCTGGTATAGTATAATCCAGCCCAGTCCAGGCACAACTTCGCGTCCCACGAGTGAGTCGCGCCCGGCATACATATTGCAAACCGCGCCCTGGCTCAGGCAAGTTGAAGCAACATGCCTCGCCCTGCGAAACGGCACCCACTGCCCCCTCGACCGCCGGCTGCACCGAGGTCTTCCTCGCCACGACCCTCAATGTATAGTTTCGGTGGCGACTCCTATCGTCCCGGTAGTAATGATCCGGTCTCTTCCGGTCGAGGAAAATTCTCTTTTCGCCCAGCACATGATGCTCCTAGCTACTCCAAGAATGTCGATCTGGCAGATCGATATGTGCCAAGGGGCCCTCGCGCTCGGCCTTCCGATTACCGAAAAGGCCGTCAGCAAAGAAGAGGAGATCGAGACTCGAGGGGATATGGTCGTTGGCGACCGAGGCCCCCAATACCTACCCATGAACGTCCTTTGCTACAAGCTCGAAGAGGCTCTACGCCGGAGCAGCTTCTTGGCATGAATGAAGAACAAGGAACGGGAGGCCGTTATTTGGATGTCTCTGATGTTTCGGATAGCGAGGAAGAGGATATGGAGATGGATTCTGATGAAGATGAGAAAGAACAAAAACCTTCACATGATGAATCCAAAGAAATCCATGCTAATTCCAACGAGCATCAAGAAGAAGAGAATGCAAATTCAGAGCAAAATGAGCCTGAAAATCCCTCGGCGCCGCGTTGGTCAAACCCAGATCCTTACACGGTACTTCCGCCTCCGGATGAGTCTCAGAGAAAGAAAAAAGACATGGTGAAGCTCATCCGCAAGGCTCGCGTTAATTCACAAAAGGAAGAAGCTCCTGCAAATCCAGTTTCTACAAACGCCGATTTCATTTCTTTGGACTTTGGTGATGAAGCATTCAATGAGGAAAAGCAGAGCAACGTCTCTTCTGACGAGGACGAACAAGAAACGTCAAGACTCGAGGATAATGAACCGCCAGCGGATGCGCCGAAAGAACCAAAGCGTTTTAGTCATCTGACTAATCTCCACGGCCCACTCACTCCTACTCCTTCAGCCCCTGGCACAGACGGCGTGACTACGTCTAGCACCCTAGGTCCACCTCCCGGAATTGTTCCCCCACTGTCAACGTCTCAAGCGAAATCTCCATTGGACGTTTGGCCACCTCCTACCGCAGAAGCTGCTGTCGGCAAGCGTAAACGTGATTTTGAAGATCTTGATGGTAGACCAACTCTGAAGAAAGCCAAAGGAGGGAAAAAAGCGGGCTCCGGTGGATTTCTGGTAGAGGAGTGGCAGCCACAGTCTGGCGCAGACCCGACACCATGGTGTACCGTAGATCACTCGCGCACCGAGAAGATGGGTTACTGGTATGTTGCAATTACCGCATTCTCCTGTACGGGCCGCACGCTAACTGATATGAAAAAGGCTACATAAAGAGGTATGTGATTTCTACAATTACGTTCGACCCAGAGAGTTCGAGGACGTTGTTCGAAGGGATCTACTTGCTCGACTTCAGAGAGGCATCTCTCGACGGTATCCTGGTTGCGAGGTGCGTTCTTTCGGATCTTTTGCTGCCGGACTCTATCTGCCAAATTCCGACATGGACGTCGTCCTCGTTTCTCGCGACTTCCTTAGGCGTGGAATCAAACAAGTCTGTCAGACGTCGAGGCACATGTTTCAGTTTAGAGCCTTTCTGGAGAGGGAGGGAATTCCAGTTCCAGGAACTGTCGAGGTCATTGCGAAGGCCAGGGTCCCCATTGTCAAATTCATCGACAAAGCTACCGGTCTGAAAGTGGACATGTCTTTTGAAAATGACACCGGCATCGTTGCAAATGAAACATTTCAAGCATGGAGGCACAGATACCCTGCTATGCCCGTCATTGTCACGGTAATCAAGCAATTCCTCATGATGCGTGGACTAAATGAGGTCTTCACTGGCGGTCTAGGAGGCTTTTCCGTCACTTGTCTCGTCACCAGCCTGCTGCAAAATATGCCTCAAGTGCAGAGCGGGAACTTTGTACCCGAGAAACATTTGGGAGAGGTCCTGATGGAGTTCTTTGACCTCTATGGTAATGAGTTTAATGTTTTGACAACTGGAATCCAACTGGAACCTCCTGGATACTTTGAGAAGGTAATTCAACGCTCTTTATCAGTACCTCAAGCGGCCAGCTAATTGTGACAGCGTTCGAACATGAATATCATATATCAGCTGAACAAAATGGATCGCCTTTCCATTGTCGATCCAAACAAGCCGGACAATGACATTTCCAGCGGATCTTCTAATGTTGCATTGATCTTCCGTTGTTTCTCTGAAGCTTATGAGATACTGCAAAAGCGGATGGCGGATCTGCGCTTTAGGAATTTCTCTGAACGACGCGGTCAGAGTATTCTCGGAACGATCATGGCCGGAGACTATTCTTGGTTTGAATGGCAAAGAGATAGACTTCGGCGGCTGTATGACGACAGATACAATTCTTTGTCATGATGATTGCGTCGAAACTTGGTCTTCGCGCCTTGAATCATTACCTTTGCATTTACGATATGGGAAACGGCTGTCAGCACACGTTGGGCATAAAATCGATTTCTTCCCCACTCGCAATGATCACACAAAAGATTCGCATCAAACCGTTTGCATCGCATCGCTACGCTAGGCAGTTCATCATTTTCATCTTCTTCGACTTTTTATCAACATTGTTTAGAGCACGATGGGGTTTACTTCAGTCGGGATGATTTTATTTTCTCCGTCTAGAGTTTTCATACTGGGGGAGCATCGTTTCCCATTCCCCCCCCACCCTTTTCTCCCTCCCTCCCCGATCTGTGGTTACATGGCTAAATAGTTTCTGCAGGGCGTACCGGTCCCGGAGTTACGGATCGATACCCCGAACATCGGTCATGAAATTTTTTTTTTCACGCGTGTAAATAGCTCTCGCGCCATCCCCATCTCTTTTTGGCATGGCATAGATACCTACACTTCAACCTTTTCCCCCCTTCTTTTCCCGAATCTGGGAGAACACGGGGACCTTCCTAGGTTTGAAACCTATTTATTGCTCACAAGAATTACGTTTTTTTCTCTTGCATGTCGTTTGTCAATTTTTTCTTTGTTGAGGTATTCTTTCTCGACCTTGCCTACGTGATTTGATCGACATGGATGTGGATATTGATTTGGTGTGTGTCCCACATTGGACACCATCAGGAAAACCCGGAGACACTCGATGCTGTGTCCCGTTATCTTGTGCTGCTAATTGTCAATAGGTCTCGCAATATCTTCGACAGCGTTTTTCGACCCGCATATACCTCATAATAACTGTGCGAGCCACCTAGTTTATCTCTTCATTTGTTCTATTTCTTATTTTATCAATTATCTCGGTAGCGAAACATGCGGCGAAGATCCTGCGACCTCACTTAATTCGACTTTCCGTCCGGTACCGACGCAACCAACGTTAACAGCGCCCGACCGCCCGACCGACCGACCACCTTTATAGTCCGACCACATCCTCAACAAACCTATTTTATATAGGATCCGGACTCTCGCGCATTTCCCGCGCAATCAAACTCTCGGGGAAATATTATGGACAGAATGTGTTTTTATACATATCTGTCCTTGTGGTGCCGGATCTTTTTTCTTTTCAACTCCCTTTTCTTTCTTTCTTTCTTTCTTCTCATCACTGTATTCGCTTTATGCGAGTTTGTGAGGAGGAGAGTACCTAATATACATACTGTGCTTGTGCTTAGCTCCGCGTTGGGATTCCGAGAGTAGGATCGTCAAAACGACCTTGTCAACCAAGTTACTCCAAACCTTACTTTTGCTCGAGCAGAGCATGTGGGATAAGTCCGGGTCGGGAATTGGGATGTCCATCTGGCTTGACCGTATGGCTGGACTCAGCTTGAGAAGGGGATCCTGAGAGACATCTCACATCTCAAAAAGTTGGGAAATTTGCCCTGCAGGCAGCAAGTATCAACGACAAGTGAGGAGGGCGTAGTAAATATTCAAAAATATTCTGAGAATAGTCTATTTGCAGGTAGGTCTACCCCGCGAATTTCTTTCGTCCCGCATACCCTTTTCCCCATATACTCAAATTACTCACTCCTTACACATATCTTCCAAGAGCTCAAGCATTCGCCGCTGTAGTTTGTTTAGTTCTGTCGCTGTCAGAGCCTGCTGTAGCTGTAGCTGTCCCTGTCCCTGCCCCGGTCCGGGCCCTGAAGAAGTCGGGGTGTGGCCGTCGGCAGAGGACCGAGCGACAATTAAATGAGATTTCGTTCCAAAAAATGGGATCCCGAGATGTTCTAGTTCAGTGGTCATGGCCTTGACCATTTCTGTGGCGGCGCGGTGGACTTTGATGTCGTAGCGCTTTATCTCGGCTGCGTCGTCCTCGGGGGTCTATCTCCCGTATCGTTAGATTTGTAATGTTTAAACGCAGAGATGGATGTGTGAGTGAGTGTGAGTGTCTACACAAAAAGAAGGGAACGTGCGTGAAAAAGTGTGATAAAATAATGGGACCAAAAGTACTTACGGATACGGTACTGCTTGTAGGAACGATGCCGCCGACAGAGAGTCTGGTATGAGATATGTTGATTAGCTGAGTGGTTCTAGTTGGGGCTGCGGGAAAAGGAAACCGCTGGGGGAAAAACATGATAAGAAGAACGTAGAAAACATAAGGTATATACCAAGATAGACCATTATTGGAAATGGAAATAACGACAAACTGGCACATGTAAACTAATGACAGAAACATTTGCAAACACTTACAGCACAGCATCCAACTTCTTCTTTCCTTCAGCACGTGCACTCTGCTTCTCTAGGAGAGCTTTTCGTCCTTCGAACCTAGAATTTCGTTAGTCCCAAAGGTTCAGTGGAAAGGCTGCTGACACAATACGACAATGTGTCTCAACTCGGTTGAGGGGCAATTGGCACACATGGAATTGCGGAAGAGACACAGCTTACCATTGTTTTTCATGATCATGTTGAACTTGTATCATCTGGCTATATGTCAGTATTGATCTAGCATTTTTGGCATATCTGGTCTAGAATCTCCGGAATAAGAGTTTCAACACGGTTTAACAAGGGGCAAAAACCTGACCTTTCGAACTCGGACTTGAATAGCTTCACTGCGAGCTACAGTCTTCATTACGCACTTGAGCGCGGTAGACCAGTCGGTGATAGTCGACGGATCGACTGCCGAAGGAGTAGGCGTAGGCCCAGGAATAGGTGTCGCGCTATGCTGGGGAGTGCTTGTGCCTGTCGTTCTGCCGGTAGCTCCATGGCCATTTTGATAATATGACTGAGGAGCACCATCAGTAGTAGTGGTTGGAGCAGTAATCAAGTTCGTGCTGGGGGTCCAATGGCTCGCTGAAAAGGCCTGCGGAGCGGAAAATGATCCAGGGTCCTCAATAGGCTCGTAGTCGTCGTCTCCGGTAGCCTCTGTATTCGCGGATACATTATGATTCAATGCGGCCTCAGAAGTGTTCGGTACAGGCGGCGCATATTGAGCAAGCGTTCTCAAGACGGACGCCAAATCTGGGGCCTGGTAGGAATTTGTATCCATTTTTGTCAAGAAGAAGGCCAGATCCGGATATAAATTTTCGATATATCAACGTAAAAGCTCCGAGGATTCCGACGTCTATTGGAAGCCAAGCCTTGAGCCAGTAAACGAACGGCCTCGGTGGACAGGCGTATCTACTAGATATTGCTCTCTGGTCTGAAAAACTGAAATATAACAATTCAAAATATTCCCAGAATACCCAATTGACATTTGTATCCGAATTAAACTCTGAATAAATGGAAAATGCGGCAGAATATTGACCAATTCAGTTTGTTTTAATGGTCATGGGCATCGAAGTTGATACGCTAGGCGAATCCATAATATCGAGTCCGTAAGCGGTTTAGCCGAATCTACTGCAACGGAGCCGTCCGCCGACCTTAGAAGGACTAATATTCACCTCGAAATTCTCCTTTGGGGGGAAAACGAATAATAACATCCAGAAAGGGCGCAGAACAATCGATTGGAAAGGCGCTCCGTAGCAGCAGCGCAAGATCGGAAGCTTTGATAGCTGCCAGCTCACAGTCTCTTACGCTATTTCAGCAAGATGGCTCGTTCGCCGGCCGACGCAACGCGCTTTACGGCCACTGGACCGCACGCGCATTCGAAATTCAACATGCATGGATCTTCGGCTTCATCGGCTTTCCCTCCGCCATCGCATCCAGAGACCCCGCAGGAGAAGGTCAATCGTCTGCGAAATGCAGCACGCCAGGCGAAGCTGGCCAAGGAGAGCCGATTCGACAAAGTCACCGCTCGAGGACGAGTGTGGGCAGACCGAGCACATCGCATCACAGCATTGACATTGATTGCAGCGACTGGTACGAACACTTCCCCCCTTCACAGTTCCTCTTATGTCATGATTCCTGCACAAAGAAATTGCACTTGGAATCCGAAAAGCCAATTCACTCAAAGGATTGTGCTCAATACCACCTGAAAGAAACCTTTTGGCGGAAGCAATCTTAAGAGGAAAGTCCAAAAAAATGTACTAACTGTAACTCTTATCAAACAGGTATTGCCGGAGTCGTGACTGTGTTCGCACTGGGTGACATGATTGTGTACAACCGGAAAAAGAGAAAGGAGTTCTTCGCTGAAAAGGAGGCGCAGCATGCCGTCAAATTGGAGCGTGCCAGAGATGCCGCAACCAAGGGTACTGCCAGTGACTACCAAAAACTGTTGCTCAACCGCGAGCGTGCTGCTGCCGAGGCTGAGCAAGAGCGCCTGAACAACAAGGGCTACTTTGCTGGCGCCAAGGATTGGCTCTACAGCGGACTGAAAAAGGACGATGTGGCCGAGAACTCGTCTGAGCAAGGGAACGAGCGCGCTGATGGACTCTCAATAGCGGCTGACGCTGCTCACAAGGTTTCCGACGAGGTTCAGAACCTCACTGCTACAGGAAAGGCTGCGAGCGAAAAGGGCGTGCTGCAGATGGTGCAGGAAAAGGCCCAAAGTGGCAACGCAACCGGTCAAGATGTTGCTGCCAAGGGTGGATATTTGGACCGCTTGGGCCAAGCTCCGTCAGAAAAGGAGCCAGAAGAGCAAAAGCCGCGCAGCTGGACCAGTTGGCTGGGAGGCCGGTAATAAATGAGCTACTGCGTGCAACACATTGTAAAATTGGGAGCCTCTTCACTTTCTTTTATACGCCATGGTTCTGTCGAGCGGATTTAAACTCAATTCATGTACGATACTTTCTTCAGCACCTTTTGCATGGTGCAATTTCGTTTTCTACATATACGCATGCATCAATGTAGAGGAGTTCTTGGTTTCATATTCATGCTTCATTCAATCTGCACCACATGCTCGTCCCTGCCCTTGCTTTACTTTCTGTCGTCGTAGTCAGGTTGTGTTGTCAGTTTCCTCTAAACATGATCAATTAGGTAGGTCACTTTGAACAGCCGTGCTCGCCAACCTGCAGCTTGCCTGTATATTGGGAAAGAGGAAGCTCAAATACAAAATTTTGACAATTCAAAAGGCTCAATGCATTGTGTACCAGACGCCAATGATATATACAAGGAAATCGAGAGCCGCCAGTTGCATGCAACCACGGGCCGAGAAGTCGAAGAAAATTGGTTTAAAAAAACAACTTTTTTTTTGCTGCAATAGAGCAGCATTCTTCAATCATGCATCAAATACGTCGTTACTTAGTGACCGTTGACGGCCTTGGCACGCAGTTCTCTCCGTTCCCGGACAGCTTGGGCCAGCTGCTCGAGGACCTCAACTGTGGTGTCCCAACCAATGCAGGCATCAGTAATGCTGACACCCTTCTTCAAACCGCTAGGACCCTCAGCGGGGACCTTTTGGTTGCCCTCCTCGAGGTTGGACTCAATCATGATTCCAACGATGCCATCCTCACCGGCGCGAATTTGGTCACCAATGTCCTTGGCAACAAGAGGCTGGTTACGGTGGTTCTTGCTGGAGTTACCTAGATTGCTATATTAGCACCAAATTCTGACGGAAATATATTGATGAAGAGAAGGAAGCTTACCGTGAGAGCAGTCAATCATCAGAATTGGTCGCTGGCCCTTCTTCTGCAGAGCCTCCTTGGCAATTTTGACGTTGGCAGCGTCGTAGTTGGTGCCCTTGGTACCGCCTCGCAGGATGACGAAACCGTGCTCGTTACCGCTCGTCCGCGTAATCGCTGCGAGTCCCTGTTTCGTGACACCCATGAAGTGGTGCTTGGAAGCGGCGGAGCCGATGGCATCAATGGCGACCGTCAGGCTGCCATCGGTACCGTTCTTGAAACCAATGGGGAAAGAGAGACCAGAGGCAAGCTCACGGTGAAGCTGCGACTCAGTAGTACGAGCACCAATGGCGCCGAGGGAGACAAGGTCGGCAAGAAATTGAGGAGAAATGGTGTCGAGCATCTCGCTGGCAATGGGCATGCCCTGGGCAGTCAAGTCGCAGAACATCTTCCGGCTAACGCGCAGGCCCTTGTTGATCTTGTAACTCTCGTCAATGTCGGGGTCGTTGATCAGACCCTTCCAGCCAACAGTGGTGCGGGGCTTCTCAAGGTAGGCACGCATGATAATGACCAAGTCCTTGGAGAGCCTGTCAGCGACCTGCTTCAGGCGCTGGCAGTATTCGACGGCCGTGGCGGGGTCATGGATCGAGCAGGGACCGCAAACGACCAGGAGACGGTCAGACTTTTGGGTGATGACCTCGACGGCGTCACGTCGGCCTTTCAGCACGGCCTCGAGAGAAGCCTTGGGCTATCGAGATGTAAGCGATGGGGTTCAAACTTGGACGTGTATCCATTCAGAGGAGTGACGACATACAGCGGGGAGTTCGGAGTAGAGGAGCTGCGGGGGGATGAGAGGGTCGTATCCGAGAACTGTTCAGCTGTCAGTTTTCTCTCTCTTGAGCGCAGTGGAATACTGTCAGGTTTAGAAATCGAGACATTGTACCTACCGCGAACATCATCAGCTCCCTCTGAGGGGGCATTGACATCGATGCCAGCCATCTTGTGTTTGTGCGAAAAGAGGTTGGAAAATAGAAAGCGCAGTTTTGATCCCAATTCCGTATAAAAAAAACGGGATGTGAAACCAAGAAGGTTAAATGGAGAGGGGTCAAAGTAAGGTGTGAGTCAAGTGGCGGGGAAATTCGAGGTAATTTCTACCTTGGGGATTGTAATAATGCGAGGGTTTCGGAGTTCCAACCAGGGCAACAAAAGTTTTGTGGAATCAAAGAAGTGACCGAACTAGCTGCGGTTTCGGCCACCCGCATATGTAAGTTCCAGCCAATGGTCTAGACACAATTTGATTACATGGCCAGGTTGGTTCACATCATTCTCCCTCGCCCGACGTTTAGGCGTTCCATTGGGACCATTAATGCAGTTTGCATCATGACTACCTACCTGAACTAACATCGCTAACCACAAGGGTATCCTGCCCTCTCCACTTCGACATCATCCAAACCATGACCATCTAACATACGGAGTAATTGCTCTTTCTGCATGTTGGATTTGCTAATAAATCGAATAGAGAACAATAATATCTGGAAGGAGAAACTCGAATGAACAAACAACGCATGACCCTGTTCGAAGTGACCTGGGGGTGGCCTGTCTCTTCCTCCAATTCTTGCTCGCTTTCAAAAATAGCTGTATACGTGGAAGATTCCTGAGGATATCAGGCATCATATGGCGTGTGTTTGCGCGTCATCTAAATGCTACCCCACCAGCTCTACTCAGGACCCTGCCTTGAAGGGTGCCGACTTGATGGTTTCCCGATTGACATTCATTCTTCTATTAAATACTTGGGACTGAGAGAAAAGACAGCATTTTTGCTCTATTTAAAGTGCTTGTGGAACACGTTAACCCATATTAACACATTTTACACCTTTGACATATTTGACTCGGCTCGCAGTGATGACTTCAGCTTTGAGCTGGCCGTACGGCCATCAATACGCTTCTGCTTGGGGAGCTCAGACGTCCACCGTGAAGTTGGTGCTCCTTTCCAATATACCATTGTGCACTGAAAGAATTTGAATCAATGAGTGAGTGTACTGATTTGGGATTGAACTACCTAGCTTCTGCGAGACTGTAAGTCGGAATAAAATCATCCCGTGCTGCGACATGGACGCTCAACTATGACCACTCTCAGGATTACTACATATCTCCTTACATAGCGGAGTTCATTAACACCATTTCCAATTTTTCATATTGTGAGACGAGCATCCTTTGGGCCCTTCAATCCACAGGAAACTAAACCTTTGTACTAGTGGTGCTTGCTTGGTATGGCTGGCGAAACACGTCCAAGCATACTGGGGACAACGCCATGCTGTCCAGTTATGCGCAGTTGGCCTTTGTCGGTGTTGGATCGACTGTTTTTCATGCAACACTGAAGTTTTCTGGTCAAATAGGTATGCTTTGTCTATTGCGTCGACGCGCATGTCATGACTATTTCTCCATTTTTTTTTTATTTTTTTTTTATACATAACCGAATTTCGTGGGCAATATGTATGACAAAAGAGTCGACGTCTGACTGATTATAGCGGATGAAATGGCGATGCTATACGCTACTGCGACAGCGATATACGCGCTTGTGGGAGTCCGTCTTGAGCTTCTTCAACGAATTGTCCTAGGCATAGCTCTCACGGTCGCAGTCACGATCATCACCATTGCCCATGTTTATCAAGACAACTCCAATATGCATCGCCTTTGCTTTGCCTTTATGGTCATTGGAGTGGCTGCTCGGTGTCGATGGCTTATCTGTGAGTTAAAGTCATCACCAACAAAGCGGGACGTCGCATTCCTCGCAATCGTCGGTTCTAGTAAGTCTCTATAAGCATCGAAGAGAGATAAATATGTGATGCGTTTCCTTTTCTTGGAAAACCCCCGTTCAACCTTGACCAGTGCTTATACTTTTTCATTGTCCAGTAATTTTCGTCTCCGGATATGGACTCTGGTTGGTGGATGAGCATTTTTGCAGCGTCCTCCAACGCTGGCGAGCCGCCTTGGGCATCCCATTTGGATTTCTGCTTGAACTTCATGGATGGTATGTTTCGGGAGAGAATCCGCTCACTCATTTCCTTTCATAGAACTTGAGAGGCTGACAAGGCCTCTGACCCAGGTGGCATGTTTTAACGGCAATTGGCGTCTATTACTATCTCCTTTTGGTTGAGCGCTTGCGGCTGTGTTCGCAACACGCTCTTTCTCTTAATGATAATGACATTAGGGTCAGCTTCAACATGCTCGGCATTCCGTCACTGCATTTCCCGCGTCCCCTCATTCAGCCATCTTCGAACCTGGTTCTCAAATGATTCTGCACAACAGTAGCTCATTCTCAGCGTCGAGCATATTTGCCATGGTGCCAGAGCCCGCGGTTGTGGGCCCAAATTAGACAAGGATTCTTTGATCAAACTTCAAACAAATAGTCGATTGTTTTTCCTGCTATATCAAATGTTTTCTGAACCATTCCTTGCATGAATTGTCTTATTGTTTTTTTTTTAAAAAAAAGGATATAAAACAAAAGAGATCCCAAAGCCTATATATCTTGTCAACCGACTCCAAAGTTTATAAAGCAAGAGAAATGTCCCACAAAACCCTATTTACAGACAGTGTCTAAATTTGATGAACGACCCATACGTCATGAAATACATATCCAGACGATTCTATGACCGGAGTCCTCACGGGACGTACATTCCTTCGATTTGAGGCGCAGTTCAGCATGCGCTCTCGGCCTCCGAACCTTTGCCGCTCTCCTCCATGGGAATTTGCTCGTCCTCTGGTCCAACCATGACATCTGACTGCTTCGGGAGCAGCCAGCCCGGGTGAAGAACGTTGAACACGCCGACAGCGATCACCATCATGGCACCGTCCAATGCAATAAAGTACCTCTCGTGGGTAATCAGGTAGCCCGACCATCCCTGCAGCAACTCAATGGTACGGTAAATGCTTCGGATATAAATGACCACAACTGAGATGGTCATAGCAAGCAAGAGAGGTCGGATTGAGAGTCTTTTTTCTCGTGGCGCCACACGCAGCCGGTACAAGAAATCAATCATGCAGTAGACAAAGACGGTGATACTGGCAAGCTGGAAGATGATACCAGCAACCATGATGTCGGTACCAGGCTTGGTGTTACCGTTTGGCGAGTTGGCCTGTCCGGACGCCATACCTCCGCCAATGGCTTGGATGACCAAACTCAGCACATCGCATGTGCAGAAAATCCAGAGGTACCAGGTCGGTTTCATAAAGGAATACTCTTGTCCTAGAATCTGGAGGAAGCGGCCTAAGATGATATAGATGCCAGCAGTGAAGAATACAGGAGCTATGATCAAACCAGCAGTCAGCATACGCGAGGCCAAAAATGTACCACGGCTTGAACCTTGAAATTTGACAGGTGGATAAGCCGAAGTTGACATGGGCCGTGAGACATACCAATAATCAGGGTTGAAATCTGCATCAAGAAAGCAGTTCCGTTGTATGGACAGTCTGCTGACCATGTTCTGCCTGCCCAACCAAGTACTTCGGCTGCAGTTACAAATAACCATTAGCAGGCTGCTAAACCAATCAAAGACGGTTTAGGAAGGGGACTATTGGGAAGCATCAACTCACTCAAAGCACCAAGGGCAAAGACTAGGCACCACCATCGCTTCGTCCATATGGCTTGGCCAGTGTGAATAAACATTGACAAGCCAAAGAGCACACAGAAGGTGATTCCAGCTGCCATAGACGGTATGTAGCCATAGCTAGGGTCGTAACCAGGAACATACGCGTGACATGCTTCGGTCAGGGCCAGAAGCGTCTGCTGGTGGCTCATGGTAGAGTTTCCGGTCGAATTCGACATGTTGATCGGTTGCTCCAACAGAAGTAGCGGTTTTGTTTGGCCGAGGTTTTCTTATATTTCTACGTCTTGTACAGCCCGGTGATCTTTTTCCAAAGTTCTCTGTCGCTTTAGCCCGCAAACAGATATTTCTCTGCTGGGTTGCACTTCGATAGACGCCGTATTTTAAGCACGCAATGGACTGGCTTTTCGTGGTGCTGGGAATCGACCTGGAGAGATATCTCGAAAGTCGGATAGCTTGGAGACGGACAAAGAGGACTTGATCCAGGAGTTGACAGATCCATTGAGTGCGGAAGAGCAGGATATTAAATAATGAACATGGGTGCATCAGGTAGGTAAATGGTCATAACACAGCCGGAGAGTTAATTTGGCCGTGGGTCAATTTCATGCCGGGATGGACTTATCGTTCGGATCCGCTGCGCCTTCATTTGTGCCCTTTACTGGGGGGCTCTTTCGCGCAATTATTACCATATTGGTATAAGGGACATGGCCATAACCTAGCAACACGTCTCCACGGAATGCACGGGCGAAGCCTTAGCGGCTAGGCAGTCATTATATCACTTGTAAGTGGAGCAAATTGGACAGCCGCTCAGGCCTGCGTAGGTGCCGGGCCCATTCCTATTCCTAACGGGCGAAGTCAAATCCAAGGGCCGTGATCCACAAAAAGTCTTCTAAACGCCTGACCTCGTGTTCCTTTACGGCCGTTTCGGGGCACTTGGTATCCGAGGTCTCCGCGGCACTTTGCCGATTGTAGCAAAGTCGGGCTGCAAATCAAATACCCAAGAAGAGGAGCAAAGATCGCACCCAAAGCCTTTTCCGCTCCGAGTCAGTCCGGAGTTTGGTATCCCTTAGGCGCCCGCTCTCAGGGGGAGAAAATGCTAGCAAATCACCCACCTTGGGCCGTAGGATTTCGTAGGGCAGGCTTTAACCCGGCTAAGTACAACATCCTCTATCCTGTTTCTGGTAATCATATCGCGTGGGTTTCAGTAGGAAGCACCTTAGCCCTTTAGGTAACTTAGTAAATTATCTGGAGTATGCACAGACTGTGAAAAGTATGTGAACTTCTATTCGCGAATAAAAATAGAGACAGAGAGCAGTACTAGGTACCAGCCATGTGAATGTATGCTTATTCGCACAGTTGGTCGGGCCTGAGAATTGAGCATCTTACTACTTTGGGAAGGAATCATACGCGAGAGCGTCACTACTAAACTACTTTTAACAAACAACTTTGTTACTGTGCGCCTGTGCTTCGAACACAACAAGACCTGGTGCAGTGATTATTATTGCTTTAGGAACAACATCAAAATGAGCACGAAACAGCAATTTTATGCTTCGAACGGGGATGGCATACTAGCAGTCCGGGGTGTGACTATCTAACTGGTAGCGTCTTAACCTTGCTTCGTCATCATACATACATACCTTGCCAGTTGCCATGTTTCCTCCAAGCTTGTTGAAAAGGCCATTCATTGATGATGAGCCGCCTTATCAAGGCGAGAGCGGTCTAGACACGAGACGTGAAGAGAAGGTAAGAACTCCTGTGTTTATCAGTTAAGCATGGATATTTTCCAGTCTGACACAACGCTTTTCCTTTACAGAGACCTCGAACACTTCCAATCCGCACTTCGCCTTCCACTGCTCACCGATCTGTCTCGTCTTCATTAGGCGAATTCCAAGAAGAGCACAGGCACACCTCTCATCATTCAAAGGTTGATGCAGCCTCGAACCTGCGCGAAGATGCTTACCCCAGCCCTGGCATTACAAAGTCGCACGGCGCTTACTTGGACCCTGACGTTGATATGTCAGACGAGAATTATGAGAGTAATGGCCAAGCTCAGTTATCAATATCCAATCCTAGCGGCCCAGACTACAAGTCATTGCTATCTTTGAACCAGTGCTGGAAACATCAGGGTGGGTTTCGGCCCTCTTCTACTGGAAGCTACGCCTCAGCATGGAATACGCTGGAATCGAAGCCTGAGTGCCAGTCACCACCATCGAATCCGTTGCAGGATCCCGGAGAGATGATGCCAGCACTGGAGCCGAGTAGCATGCCAAGGAGTCCATCCGCCGAGCCAGATGTCGACATGGACGAAAGCGACAGCGTCAATGGCAATAAGAGACATAGAGAAAATTCCAAGCTTGTCTTCAGCATGGGCTTTCGGGCGGACTGCGAAAAGTGCCTCATGAGGGTCCCAGGACACTACAGTCATGTTTATCGAAGAGAAGAGTGAAATTCTACGGAGCACTGCACCCGAATTTCCCAATCACAAAACCATTATTAAGCCTCAGCCAACCTCGTTTCTCAATGGCTAGACCTTTGCCGCCGGCGTTCTCGGAAATATCTCCTTTCTCTTACCATGTTTGCTGCGCCATCTACACCGCGAGATCAAACAGGGTCTACCCCAGCTTGCAAATAGATTTGTCTCAAAATAGCGCAATTTTTTCCACCACTTATTCGTTGCTTTGGAGCACTCACGTCATCCATAACACAACCCCTATTCATCTCTCTGGCCGCACAATCCAGGGCCGGCGGCCTCATACTTATCACCGCTTCTTGAAAGACATTGGCATCAATGACGAAATTGATGGACGACTTGGCTCGCCATTGCCCACCTGGCGTCTTTCTCGACAACGTCATTAAATGTGGCTATTTTGTGTGTTTGCAGACGGGACGCAAATACCACCTGATGCTTATTTGGTTCCTTTGGTATGAGAATCGACTTTGCCGCTAGATCTCTACGAGGTAACACCCATTAGCCTTTACATAATTCAGATGACATATTTAGCAATGAAATGATGAATCTCCCTTATTACCACCGTTGGACGTTTTTCCGTGTTGACCGTGTCGCTTAACATTGCAACTACCGCAAGCCAGTCCTGGTCGAAAATATTGCCCACCACAGATGTTGCTGGCGTTTTCGGAGAGCAGTCATTGAACGTTATTTCAAGCGTGTGTGACCGATATCTTTTGCCACTCTGTCATGCTGAATACTTCGAGTATAGTTCCGGAAAAGTTACATTGTTTCGACTAGATATATTTCAGTTTGCAGAGATCGACGACCAACATACTATGGCAATTTGAAAGGTAAAAACCGGATCGGATTATTTTGGCATGTGACGATTATCATTTACTTCTTTGAATCGATTTTTTTGCAATTTACATCACTGTGATGCCCACCTCGTCGACATAATTTTCTTGGCAATCTAAACCATGATGGGTTTTGTTTGACATTGCTGCAATCAATCATGCCGTCGCGGATCCTGTTTTCAGATTTTGGTACGATCGACAAGAGATGATGAAAGAAACGGCAGAACGAAGGAACCGTTATGTGGATGCACCAGCTGGCTCTGACCAACTAAATACACAACTGAACATTTTCACTTGCGCAAAAAGTACGGAAGCTCTGCATTACCGGGTCGCAAAGGCCGCTTTGAGCCGGTTGCATGCATTTTCGCCATTTTGGCGGCGATGGCCACAGAGTCGTCACAGGAGACGTCACAGGAGAGAGCTCCAATCATGCGGTCCAGATCACAGTGATTTCCCATGTCTTGCGCCCCCTTGGCTTTTGGGTCGTGTGAGAGTCTGTTCTAGATCGACTCCCGAGCGAGGATCGAGTCACAGGAAATGGACACGAGGATCAACTAGAGACAAATCACTTTTGACCAGTCCATTTCTCCTCAAGCACGGGAAGAAATTATCAGAACTCTTCTACTTTGTTTAGTTCAATCGTTGGCCAGAGGTTGACCAGGCCAATGGAAATCTCTAGCAAGGAGAACATGTCATGCGGGTTTAGGACGGATTTATTAACCGAAGTCGGAAAAGGCTGACGCTTTCAAACACGCGAAACGCTTGCGGGAGCCAATCCTCGCTTCCAATTCGCTCCGTTCCGCCTATCAATTCACGAGGACTCGTTTTAGTGGTCAATTGCAGTTAATTTACCGAAAACCTTCTTTTTCGTTTGCGTCAAAGCTCCGTTCACCACAAAGGCGAACGGTATCAGAAAAGTTTCCCTTTGAGGAAAAGGATGCCTGGGAGAAAATTATAGAAATACAGATCAAAGAGATGGATACGAATGCGTGCCATCCGGCTCTGTATGCATATGCGTTGGCGAGACGTTGCACAGTCGATCAAACTCTTCTGCTTGCGGTTGGCTGACAGGTGTTCGGTGTCAGTTCATCTAATTTTTTGTTTGCTGGGATGGGTGGACCGGGTGCAGCATCGAAGGGCGGGAGAAACAAAAGTTGGCATATGAGTGGACAAAATCCGCCGCTAACCGGCAGGGATGAGTATCGGCTTCGATAAGATACTCATCTCTATCTGCTTGTTTGCATCTCTATCTCTGTACCAGAAATGATAAGATACCTCTTATCTTTTTTTGGCTGCTGGGTGGCTATCACCTGCAAGCCCCAAATGATGCAGCCAATCATTCTCTCTTTTCCCGTTCTCGGAATCTTCAAGAACAAAACATTTGGAAAAGGTGGACTGGACTGCGGGAATAGACCCACTGGTTCCCCAATGCCCATGATAAATAATCTGACGGTACGCCGCGCGTGCGACGACCGCCGACTGCATTCCAGGTTTCACGCAGCCTGCCGTTTTCGAGAGTTTAAGCCTCGATATTTTGCCGCAGGCATTTGACAGTGCGAGTCGACCTCCAATGGGTGTCACTCCACCAAACAGCAGTCGTCGGAAAGGCGACGGCTTTCCCACAGCACAATTATTTTATCTCGGTATGTTGAAATAGCTTCAATTATTCCAAGTCACAGATTTTATGAGACTCTCGAGGCTAATCAAGTCTTCAATCAACAAGCTATATGCCGTGTGGCTGAACCCATAGCCCTCACGTCCGTCTTTCCATATGCATTTCCTCTGGTCTTGCGCTTCAACTTCGGAGACCCGGACAATGCCTCCTTTTATGCCGGTCTTCTTATTTCTGCTTTTCCCATAGCAGAATGCACGACGGGCATGCTCTGGGGAGGGCTCTCCGACCGCATCGGCCGAAAACCGACTCTTCTTCTCGGATGCATTGGAACAATGATTTCACTGATCATGATTGGATTTGCCAGTAATTTCTGGATTGCGTTATTGGGTCGGTCTCTGGCCGGATTCTTGAATGGAAATGTAGGGGTGATTCAGACCATGGTAGGAGAAATGGTCAAGAAGCCGGAACACGAGCGTAAGTGATATTTTCTTCATCTCTGTCCACTTGGACTTTCAATTACTGACGATTTTTTTTTAAAAGCACGTGCGTATTCGGTGATGCCCTTTGTATGGTCAATTGGCACTATTATTGGACCGGCGATTGGTGGCACGTTTGCAGAGCCTGCAGTCGGCTTTCCAGGGCTTTTCTCGGCCAACGGAATTTTTGCAACCTTTCCATACCTTCTGCCGAATCTCATTTGTGCAGGACTTCTACTGATCAGCATCGTCGTTGGATATTTATTCCTTGAGGAAACCCACCCTGACATGCTGGCGGCCGGAAAATCTACAACCGATCACATTTCGTCCATTGAAGAGTCAAACGAAGCAGCATTGCTATCCTCAAACGGACTCCTGGGACAGGCTGTGGTCGATCTTCCACAGAATACATATGGTACTTTTAACAATAATGACGATAGCTCGAGTGACCGGTGGGAGGTGGAATCCGAAGACACTATTGCTGCACAACCGACGGCCCCCGAGAGGCCGAAAATGTTTACCAAACGGGTTGTATTGCTTGTCGTTGCTCTCGGTATTTTCTCGTATCATGCCATGGCCTACGATCATCTTCTACCAGTTTTCCTCCAAGACGAGCGAAGAGACGACATTTCATCCTTTTCATTTTCACCGTTTCACGTTCCTGGAGGATTAGGTTTAACCACACAATCAGTTGGCTTCATCTTGAGTATCGATGGAATTATTGCGATAGCTATCCAAGGATTCATCTTCCCTATTGTCACCGAGATCCTCGGGGTGTGGAAGGTATTCATGTTGGTGACGCTACTCAGTCCGATAACCTACATCTTTGTCCCCTACTTGGTATTTTTGCGCGGCTTCTGGCTATATGTCGGTATCTATGCGTGCCTCATCCTCCGCAACATCTTTGGGAATCTCGCCTATCCGGTCATTCTTATCATGCTCAAGGAGGCCTCGCCTGCTCCTTCAGTACTGGGCAGGATCAACGGGTTTGCTGCAAGTGTTGCAGCGGGCACAAGGAGCCTCGCACCGCCTATTGCCGGATATTTCTATGGTGTCGGAATCAACCTTGCGTTTACCGGCATTGCATGGTGGGTCAGCGGTGCAGTAGCCGTTCTGGGAGCTCTCCAGGCATTGATGATTAGGCAAACAAAGCGGCGTGATGTCCTGGATGGTTTTCCGGCTGAACCTGTTCTTCTGCCGCCTGACGACGATATGAAGAGCGAGTCAATTCTGATCACGTGTGAAGAATCAGATGAAGTTTGAAGTCAGCATGTTTCTCCGGGACTATAATTGCAACTGACGATATGATGATGATATTTTCCTAAACCATTGTACATATTTCTTTTTAATTTCCTCCGCATAGTGTGCGAAGAGCATTTTTCTTAGCGGCGCATATGTTTATTTTATTAGGCTGCCGCATATTTAAACTCTTAACTGTGAATTTTCTTACCTGAGCTGCTTAGATCAGAAGTTGCAAATATTGTAAAACATCCTCGTCACCCTAATCACCGTTTCGACAATTAGCATTGAATGTGCGAGTCGCATGAAGAAGAGTAAAGGGTCCTGGACTGACGAGTTTCTCCCTGGTCGGCTTCCCCACGTCAAGTCCAGTCCGCCGTCACGCGCAGCCGAGGTTCTCTCGGCCCAGCCCGAGGGGACCTCAAATGCCCCGGCCGCCGTGCGCTGAAGGTCACGACGCAATGAATCCAATCCTACGGAACCATTCAACTGAGACGCCATTCCTTTTGGTAAAATTCGAGTCACGCTCCTTGTGTATAATGTGATCCATGCACACCAGCTTCGATCTTGCAGATCCCATCGAAATCTAACCATGGCATCCGCTCCTTCACCCAACCCGTCTGCTTCGGCCGGCAATCCCAAGGTCGACCCGATTCTGCGCAATGCATTGCGATATACTGTGAGCGCAAAAGAGTACGAGCTGCTTCACCAGTATCTGCTATCTCGAGCTTCAGCTGTCCGAAGAAGAGCGCCACGGCCGCCGCGCTACGAATCTTTTGTCCGCAGCAAGGATGATTACAATGCAGCTGCAATCCGAGCCTCGTTGCGCGTCTTCTTTGCGACGCAAGCAGGTCTCAAGCTTTGGGAGCTTATAACTACCAAGCTGATTGCCAGGGGAAGAATATCAAAGTTAGCGATTCCTACCTTATGAGTTCAATGCTTGTTACAGAATAATAGAATAATAATAACAATATATAAACAGACCGCTGCCGAAAACGAGTATATTCCAATCGCGCAATCTACGACTTTCCTTTTCACTCTCATTCATATTATTCCTCCATCGAATTCTCTATCGTTTCTTTACGCGGCTGCGTGAGAATCTCCTTACACCTGATGCGGCTCCCTTTCGCCGAAGGAACCCTCGTGTCACTCGAGTCCTTATCTCCCGACTAGCTCCAGCGATTGGGGCCAGTTTAGCCGGCTTCAGTCTCGGTCTCTACCCGTCGGATCAATTGCGCGTTACTATTGCGATTTATATGGTTACCAGAGCTGCAGAATTTGTGTACAATTCTCTAGAAGACCAAGGATGGTTTCAGGACCGACCATGGGTACGTTACGGCTAATCGGGTTCGTGAAATGGAAACCAACGAGAGTGGCGAGGCTGATCGGGGATTCTCTAGTGGTTTGGAAGCTGGCTTCTGATGCCGTTTGCCTATGGGCAACTACTTCATGCCTTTGTCTTTGACAGGGAATGCTTTCCACAGGTAAGACAGTCCCTTTTGGCCCTTCGTCTACGCTGTAAAGTCCATGGGTCTGATGTTTCTGATATGGTACAATACAGGGTTACGGCGACTTTATCCTCAAGCGATCACCAAACTACATCCAACAGCGACCAGAGGATTACCCCGCGCAGCTCGCATGGCCAGACACGTACGAGATTGTTGACAGCTTGGCCGAAATGGCCCATCTCAATTGGCCGTAAGTCCACATCCACTTGTTAACTACCTATATCCTTTTTCCTTGAAAACGAGCACACGAGCATATCGGAGTCCCATACTAACATTCGAGCATAATACAGACCATTCACATCTCCCATTCTCTTCCCGAACAAGGAAACACTCCCGCCCTCCCTCACGACCATAGCACCCATCACCGACCCCGCGCATCCCGGCATCAAGCCCCTCTCCTGCGCCGTGCTGCACCCCAACGACCCATCCTGCCTACGGACCTACCTGACATTCTACATCCGGGTCTTCCCGCAATTCGCTCGGATTTTCGCCCTCGTCCTCACAGGCATGAGCATCCTCCGCTACAAATCCTTCCTCGCCACGCCCATCTCCTCGACCAACGCCCTCGCCAAGAGTATTCTGAAACTGACACTCTCTGTCACCGGCGCCATCGGCAGCGCATGGGCCTCCATCTGCCTCTTCCAACACGTTTTTCCCCGTTCCTTCTTGCCCACCCAGCGGTTCTTCCTCGGCGGCTTCCTCGCGGGCTTTTGGGCCTTCCTGACCCGCCGCTCCGGCAGGAGTAATTTCCTCTACTCGGCGCGCATGAGCATCGACAGTCTCTGGAAAGTCGGCGTCAAGCGCGGCTGGTGGAGGGGCGTCAGGAATGGCGATGTCTGGCTGTTTGTCCTCAGCTTGGCACTCACGAATGCTGTGTATGATGTTAATCCCAAAGCCGTCACGGGAGGGGCCGTCAGGAAGAGTCTCAGCGTGCTGCGTGGACAAGGCTGGGTTGATCGCGCCCGTGCCAAGTCGGTCGTGGATACTAGGGATGGTGAAGCCGAGGAGTAGTTTTGGGGTGAATTTCTTAAGACCTTGTTTATAATAATAAGCGGTGGGCGGAGAGGGGTGTGGGTGTTCGCTATCACACTCTCAACGATTACTATTATCAGTCGTTGCTATTATCAATTGTTGGTATTATCGGTTAAGGTTACGTTATGCAATGCATAGAATGCAAGCATGGGAAAGGAAGCAGGGCTTATATTTCCTTGGGAGTCGGAATTATGAAATTAATTTATTTTTGGTCACTTTATAGATCTTTATGCTTTCTTACGATTCATCCTCTATTCTGCAATTGTCTACTCGTATTGCTCTCATCATCAGACAGTCTCTCCGTCCTTTTGCTGTACTAAATGTCTCTCTCTGTGCAGTATATTGCACGTACTGTATAGTATATACCCTTTAACGTTTATTTATCCATATAATTTTTTATTAATATTATTATCATTTTCACATCTTTCCATATGAAATCTCTCGAATTATTGTGACAATACCATTCAGACAGGAGTGCGAAAGTTGTAACGTAATCGATTCGATGTCCCAGAGTCTCTAACCATGAACTCCATACATAACAAAACAACCTTGGGTATATACTTTGAAAATTCTCTCTCTCTTCACATTTATGAGTCGCCCTCTGCCTCAACCGGAACATATCTGCTCCTTTCCTTCGCAGCCTACATGTAATCAATTAGCATTCAACACCATGTCCTTTGTATTGTGATGACAGGATACAGAGGGGGGAAAAGCAGCAGAGAGGCTCACCTGCACCCAATTACCGACCCACGGCCTCAGCAGCGCCCAGAGTAGTAACCCCGCTGTTGCAAAGATGAATATAAACACAAACGCCTCGTCTTTGCGACTATCTCGTTCTGTACCATCGCATACAAGTCAGCCTTCAATCTTTTAGAATTAGGG